ACAGGGATTGGAAGAATCAGGAAATGATTTACCCTTTGAAGTGGATGCTTAATTGAAATATGCACTAAATGCAACACTGCCTCTAGAGCAGGGTTTCTCAACCTTGGCAACTTTAAGATGTGGGTACTTCAACTCCCAGAATTCTTTAACCAGCATGAATTTCGGGAATTGAAGTCCACATATCTTAAAAGTTCCTCAATCAGAGACATGCTGTTTTAGAGCAATGGGAGGCAAGAATTTCTAATAATGAGGAAATTCCAAATTAAGAATGTCAAAGAGGGGAGCACCTAACATCAGTGGAAAAGTTCATAGCTAAGCATTAGTATATGACTACTGTAAAATCTCCAGTCGGGGGTGGTATTTGCCGGTTCTCAGAACTACTCAGAATTTCTGCTTCTGATTCTCCAGAACTGGTCAGAACCTGCTGAATACAACCTCTGAATATGCAGTATGGATCAAGGAAGCTAGTTTTGTTTTCTGCTTCTTGCATAAAGAGCTGCCATATATACATCTAGCACAATCTTTTTATGTGGCACCAACTGACTTTCCGCACCTTCATTTCTCTGCTGGCTGTCATTGCTGCTCCTTCACTTTTCATTTTTGTTTCTTTCCTAATATCCAGCTCTCTGAAATTAAACCCTCAGCCTGTAAAACATTTTGGAAACGTTGCCAGGGACTTTTAGAAAATACTTTGGGTAGTTTAAAGAGAAAGAAAAAGCTGTCCCATCAGCATGCAGAAGAGGTAAAATTGCTGTAATGGAGGAATGAGGGAGTGAGGACCAGGGATGCATGTTAGGGCACATGACTGCATGTTGCAAGGTCCTTAACTAACTAGCTCATTGCTACTCCTCACCGTTAACTCCTGCATTGATTTACAGTGATAGTAGGAATCAGGCAGACACCTTTAGCAAGGGTACAATGTATGAAGGCGTGAATACATTACAGCTGCATTAAAGTTTCCATCTCATATCCTAATATGTCCTATGAAAACTGCCCCCATAGAACTTTAAATAGCAATAACGCTTAGGCTTATATACCACTTCACAGTGCTTTACAGCCCTCTTTAAGCAGTTTACAGAGTCAGCATATTACCCCCAACAATCTGGGTCCTCATTTTACCGACCTTGGAAAGATGGAAGGCTGAGTCAACCTTGAGCCGGTCAGGATCGAAAGAATCGAATTCCTGACAGTGGGGGCAGAATTAGCCTGAGATACTGCATTCTAACCATTGTGCCACCATGGCTCTTAAATATCTTGTATTTTATCCAAGCTCTCTATATGCTGTGTTTGTTCTTCTCCACATCTTGCATCTTCAATAATTGACCAAAGGACAGAATTGAAGCCTACACAGTTTCTGCTGTTAGTCTCTAGATTAATGGTGGTTCTCTGTTCTGTATAACTATTGAAGATGCTGGACTGGTGTCACCTATGTAGACTTACAAATTCACAGGAGATTTACTAGGAGGAGGAACAGTATGTAATTTAGATCCCACTATGAAGGAGTAAATCAATTTGCAAAGGAAAAAGAAACAAGAAATGAGTCCTGTGGAATACTGAATGTTGAGCTAAGTTATGGACAGGAGAAAATATTTTATTTTTGGGAAATGGCCAATGCCTCTTTCAGCTGATCACTTTAACTTAACCCTTTAGCTGTTTTTAATACTCTGTTGATAGTTTGAATGTTGAAATGAATTGAGAATGGGTAGTGTACATCACCTATACTGAAATGCTTTGAGATGCATTTAGGAATGGTTCCTCTACATTTAAGTTCAGACTAACATTGCCTCCCTTCCTGAAAAGCCTGGAATAATAAAATGAAGTAAACTAGAATAGCTAGAGTTTCAGTTGGCGAGAACATTAATAAACCTGAAATGCATTGTCCGTTTTGGGGGGATTGCATGAACGGGTCTTTCAAATGAAGAGTGAATAAACATTTGGCAGAAGACAGCATGTGTCAGTGCATGCCTTTAAATAAGGTCTTATGAGCGCAAAGTTTGCTACTGTGCTATCCTAAATATTTGGCCTAGACTCCAGCAGCTTCATACAGTTCAGAGATGTTCTTTACTTTTCTCACTATGTTTTACAGGTGAGCACCTATCTACATGTAAAGGAGAAAGATGGGTGTGGAAATCAGGATCCCGACTTTGGAAATTCAGACTTCATATCAGAACCTGCTAAGCAAGTGCCTCCCAGAGTTCCTTCTTCCCCATTTTCCAGGGTAGAATGGAGTCAAGCAGCCTCTCATACCTTCCCCAAGATTAGTTCTAGCTGCTCCTCGAAAAGCCCAAAGGGAAAAACCAAAGGAATGGCAGGAGATATTCAGAGGCTCACTTTGCAAAGGATTATGGGAATAAAAGCAAATTATCTGCAAGAAGTGAAGTATAGTATGAGTAACACTTGGCCACCTAGATGCACCCAGAGGGTGCAAGTCCTGCAGGCATTGTCCTTACCACAAAGAGAGCTGATGGATCATGTGAAGAATCCACTAGATTGGGCTATTGATGCTGAATGTGATTTACCCAGAGAAACATCTGGAAAGTGTATATTCCTGAAACAAAACACAAGTCTTCATAGCCACCATGCATCCACAGAAAAGATGAACACATGTCAGCATCTTTCCCTGGGATCTGTTTTGAGCCTGGAACTTCCCAAGGACCTCAGTGCTCTTAGAAATGTCCATGATATTGTCAAGGTAGCAAGGGACGAGGTAGCAGAAAGGAAGGGAGCGAACCAGGTGAACCAAGTGACCCACAGGAGCACAGAAGAGGCAAAGACACACGAAACCAGTATCAGCCTGGAAAAAGAAACCATAAGAGGACAGCGAGTAATGCATTCAAAGCCTGTGAGAGCAGAAGGCGTTTCTCATAAGGTCCCCAAGACTAAGAAAGGCACTAGGTTTGAAGAAGTGAACCTCAACCCAAGCTACGGTAGGCAGAAAACTTACTCTGTTGCTTGTAGTGAAGAGGTGAGGCTGCATCCTAAAAGTCAAAACAATTCCAGTGATGAATGTTTTGATTTCAAGCAGAATAAGCCCCCTCATACCAGCGTATTCCATGAGCAGATAGATTTGGAGTGGGATAAACTAGCTGCCTCACTGGGTAGAATGGGTATTTCCAAAGAGAAGCAACTAAAAGATACAGATGACAAGAGAGCCAAAGTTCAAGAAGCTTTGAGGTTGAAACTGAAGCCTTTCTCTGCTGAATCCACAAGCAACCCTGATTTAGTTTCTCATCTAACCAAAATGAAAGATCCTTTAGTGAATGAGACGTCAGAAAAAGAAAATACCCAGTGCTCTGAAGAAAGCATTTCAAGACACCCATCTACATTTCTGCACTTGGGACATAAATCCCCCACCAAACCTTCTAAGCTTGAATGTGAGTTGGGCTATGAGGAAAATACTCAGAGTAACCCAAAACTCTGCCCTTTCCATTTGACCCCACGGGCAGAGGTACCCAAAGGAACAAAGTTGCAAGGCATGGCAGCAGACGTTCGTCATCCTGCTCATGAGATGTTTGAAGAAGAGGAAGAAGAGCTGCAGGCCATATGGAATAATATGGAGAGGCATAAAAAAGGGTCAGATGTCCCCGATGACCCAGGAAGAAAGGTGGACAAAGAGCCAAGTCTGGGCAGTTCAAGTGGAAAACTTCTCCTGACATCTGCAGATAATTGGTTGATAGCCAAATTCAAGCTTCCCACTTCTGCTGAGATGTTACAGAATTCAGAAGGAGGAAGAAGAGCTAGTCTTGGGGTTGACAAGAGGAAAAACAGACCAAATCAGTGCAGCAAAGCAGATATATCTTCTTGCCAGGAACTTAATAAAGAGGCAGCATCTTCACCTGGAGAATTGTCACTGCAAAAAATATATCCAGCGGATCAACAGAAATTCCAAGAAGAAAGCAAAAGTGTTAGCAAGGTTAGAAATGATTGGCTTTCAAGGGGAGGCATGGGAAAAATTGCATTAGAAACTTTGTTTTATCTAACGTTTACATTTTTGCGGTTCTTTTCCATATGTTCCCAAAAGAATTGATACTTTTATCTTCTCACTAATGCAAAACCCACACTTTTTCAGGTAGATTTCAAGTAGAATACTGAGCCCTGCAGCTGTGTGTAAGTGTCATATTCATCAACATCAGCCAATTTGGCCAATTCCATGTGGCTGGAATAGCAATGGTAGACAAGCACACCTAGAATTTGTATAGCTAAAAGTCTGTAGACATTCTCAGTCGTCCAGGTCATGGTTGTCCCAAAGATGCTTTTTCAGGAGGCAACTGGACTTCCTTGTGTTTCTTTGAAGACGTTTCACTTCTCATCCAAGAAGCTTTTTCAGCTCTGACTGGATGGTAAGGAATGGAAGGATTTATATTCCTTGCAGACAGCTGGTCATTTGCATTCTTTTAGAGAGTCATTGAGGCCACTTGGAGGTTTGTCTGTGTCCTCAGGGTCACCTGAGTAGTGCTAATGGTTAGCACTACTAATGGTTATATAGCATTAGCACTCAGGTGACCCTGAGGACACAGATAAACCTCCAAATGCTTCAACGATCCTCTGAAAGGATGCAAATAACTAGCTGTCTGCAAATCCTTCCATTCCCTACCATCCAGTCAGAGCTGAAGAAGCTTATTGGATGAGAAGTGAAATGCCTTCAAAGAGAAACGAGGAAGTTCAGTTGCCTCCTGAAAAAGCACTTTTGGGACCTGGAATTTGCTTACTTGAAAAAAACTAAGCTAAAGTTAGAGTAGTTGCAAGTTTGGGTTGAAAAAACATTTTCCCACCCTTCTGCTATGTTTTGGGAAAAGTGATACAAAAATGCCACACGTTCCTTTGCAAGTTTTTTTTTTAATGTTTTCAGGAGACTTTATATTATTATGTGTCTTTTTCTAGACTCATCCAAGTAAACTGGAACTTCAGATGATGGAAGGACCTCTGGAAAGAAAAAATCTGTTGCAGGCAGGAGGCAGAAAGGTATTTATATGATAAAAGGGGCAATATGTTAATTTCTTTTTACTTCTTGTTAATGCTTCTCTGCAGATGCAAACAACTACTGGTTATCAATAAATTGCTACATTGAAAGAATCTCATCCAGTGTCGTGATGGTAATGTTGTCAGTAATTAACATTGATACAGCTCCAAATGCTTTTCAGTGAGATGCTAAAGTAATATATGATCTGAGTTTTCAGGATAAATATAATCCACAGTTTGTCAGCTAAAATAAAGTGAAAAACTAGTCTGATTCGAGGTAAATTAGAGGGAAATTATTACCAGGGAATCACCCATACTTTATTTGCTTGGTGCCAATTATGTAGCTTTTCATGCCCTGAAGGAGCTTTTGGACATTAGTTGTTTTTCTTGGCCCATGTTTTAAGAAAGAGCTTATAGGTAGTCCTCAACTTATGATCACAATTTCCATTGCTAAGCTCCTGATTTTATGACTTTTTTTTGCCATGGTTGTTAAGCGAATCATGTGGTCATTGAGCGAATCCAGCCTCCCCTGTTGACTTTGCATGTTGGAGGCCAGCTGGGAAAGTCACAATGGATGATCATATTACCGTGGGATGTTGCAACCATCATAAATATATTATGGTAGCCAAGCACCCAAATTATGATCACATGACTATGGAGATGCTATGAAGGTTATAAGTTTTAGGACAGGTCATAACACTTTTTTCAGTGCCTTGTAACTTTGGTCACTGCATGAATTGTTATAAGCCGAGGATTACCTGTTCTAAAAGCAACTATGGACAAAAGAGGTTTCCTATTTGTGCTGCTTCATGTTCAGACCAATCTTCATCTGTTTTTAGATCTGACCTTGGATATTTGTTCTTTCAGGCAAATAGTCGTTCCTGGAATACATTTCATACAGTTCTGATGAGACGAACTTTGTGTTTTTACCAGGACAAGAAAGATACCCTCAAGGTAATGGCTGATGAAAGAGAGCAAATAAAAATACAAAATGGAATGCTTGCTTGATTAAATGCCATCAAGTCTTTTTGTACTCCTAGCAATCACATTGATAGATTTTCTCCATGAGAAATGGAATAAGTATAATATGTAAAAGTCTCTGCCAAACATTTAACAGTGTTGTTCTTTTTTAAAATCCTGTTTGAAGTTGTTTCTCCACTATTTCTATATCCTATATAATCCTTCACCAATGTTCTGCATGAACAAGGTTATTATCTACTTGAAAACTTTATACTGTTTCTGTTGACTGAGTTTTAGAAATAAACTGCATTTTTTTCCAAAATAAAACTTAAAATGGCCTAGTACATCCTGGTACAGTCATAAAGGGTAACAGAATATAAACTACCCATAGGTGCTTTGAAACTAAGCTTAAATGGCAGTTATAAATGGCACTGATTAAAACCCACAAAATTTTCATAGAATCTGCATTTCTTGGTATAATGACGTTGATCCATCAAGCAAGAAGAATGCACATGATCACAAAGCGATCCTTGCATTTTACATTGTTTCTATCAGAGGTCTCCAACCTTGGTCACTTTAACACTTGTGGACTTCAACTGCCAGAAGTCCGCATCCAGCATGCTCCAGTCCAGAAGTCTTAAAGTAGCCAAGGTTGGTGATCTCTGGCCTAAATCAACAGTTTGCCATTTAAGACAATCCCTTTCTCAAGCTTTTTCTTGGTTAAATATGTACTAGTTTACTTCTTTGATAGCCGTAGCTCTTCAGAATGATTACCCTATTCCAGAAAAAAGAATATTTGCTTACCTGAAAATACTGTTCCATAGTGGCTTAGTTAGAAGCAATATTTTCAAGTATGGGGACTTTATGTTTGCCTTCTTTGCATAGCAGAGCTCTGTGATGGCCATACCACTAAATCTGTCTGGAGCTGTTTGTACCCTGGAAACAGAATACACCAAAAAGAGCAATTGTTTCACGTTACAGTGAGTAGCATCAATATTTCCACTCCTGTATGAGGTACCTGGATGCATTTGTCACTTTCAGATATAGGTGCTGTTAGAATGTGGAAATTTTCATTCTCTGACTGGGCATTTGGAACAGGTGCTGTCCTTTATACAATTTTTGTAGATACCCCAATATGCCAACAGTGGAATGCATTCACTGTGTTCAGTTGCTAAGGAAGGACACGGGCAGTTTGTCATATCTCTGCTTCCCATCAAATTTCTAGGACAACCCATAGTGCCTGTGAATTTCCCGAAGAGAGCAGAATCAACTTCTTTTCAGAATTCCAGCACTAATTGGTCCCTCTTCACATACAACTTTCAGTCATTCCCATCCTCTTAACTGGTAGTAATGTTTAAGGTAGATAAGTTATTTCTACCTATTACTTGTGTCTTAATTCTCACTGAAATACATTACTGAAATGCGACCAGCCATCTAATAGTTCTATTGACAGGTGCCTTAGGATTAGGAAGTCCTGGAAAGTATTTTATGGAGAACAGGAAAGTCTAGACCAGTTTCCAAAATTATCTAGTATTTTTTATCACACCATATGTGGAGGGCAGAGGGAGTGGCCTGGACAGACAGGAGGAAAGAGCCACTACCAAGATTTATTTTTCTTATATGTATCCATGTATTCATAACTACGTTTTTACTTATGCCTGTAAGCAATTGACAAACCAAATAAAATAAATAAATAAAAGACAACGGTCAGATAAAAGAGGATTGAGTCCAGAGCAGGAAAGTATCCTAAGTGAACATCTCAGACAAGACCCTTGCTAGATCTCATGAAGGGACAGAAGAGGAAGCATATTTAGACTTGTAAGATTTTGTTACTATAGCTTTACAATAAGTAGTACTGACTTAACAATGAAGTCTTAATCTGGGCTACCTTGAAGTTTGATCCCATAATACTTTTTTCTCTCATACACATCTAGGTTGAATGATGGCTCCAAGTATCTTCTCAGAGCTCCAACTGAACCACTCATGAAAGAATGGGTTACCAAATTACAGCAAAACTCAGGTAAGACTGAAATATAGCCCATATCATAATGGTTAGGCCTAAGTGGGGAAATGTTTGGGCATTTTACAGCAACGTTTATCTTCCATCACCGTGTATCTCATTGAAACTGTGTCAAACCTAGGATCATAAAATGGGTTAATCTTAATATTTTTGGGGAGATTGACTAAAATATTGGGATTTATTTGTGGGAAACTGAAGCTAAAACAAAAGTCTCCATTCCTTGTATGTAACAGTATAACAACAGTGGTTTGTACGTGGGCAACTGTGCACATTTCATGTTTGAGCTGAATGATGCTAGTAAAGAGGAATGAAAGTGCTTTAAAATTCACGTTGTCATTCTTCTCTGTTCATCAGAGAGGCTATAGCACTCTGTTCTTTCTTGCTTTTCTTTTTTTTCTCTGAAGTGTATGAAGTAGACCTTTGACATAGGTTTGCTTGGCTATGAGGCCACTTTTTAAACTACTCGAATGGCTTTATTTTAAAATGCGATGTCTGAAATGACTGCTTTGATCTGTTGCAAGGTTTACCTGAAGTGGATTTCTTCCCATCATCTTCCCAGCCTGCTCAAGGAATGACCTCTGCGGTTAGGTAAGAAGTTCAAGCAACTCAGCTATGATACAGATTTGCAGAGGAGAATACAGAAAGTTTTTTGAGAAGTCACAAACTGATATTCCTATAAATATTTTTGTGCTTTTTAAAAATACAATATTGTATCAAGATACTGAGAATATCCAGACTTCTAAATTTCTAAATGTGAAGTTATAGCCATGCTATGTGGCCATGGACTGATGGGGATTGCAGTCTAGCACTTCTGGAGAGACTAGATTAATAGCAGTTTAATATTTGGAAATGCATCTTGTTCAAATTGAGTTAATATTACTGTACTTTCCTTGCTTTTTCTTCCTGTGTGATTCTCTAGCCTCTACATTATTATAGGCATCTTTGATGCCCACTTTTTGTTAACATGCAGTGTGCTGATTTATTTTCAGCCACATAGAATCTGCCAGTGGACCAAATGAAATTAATTGAGATATCCTAAAGTGGTGCCTATGAATAAAACAGCTCTGTTTGCTTTATGGAAAAGACAATCTACAACTAAACACTGCCTGAAATATGCCATAGAGCACTGTGCGTGGATTTGGATTTGTATCTCCTTTCCTATTTCCATGCCCTCTTTTTTTTTGTTTAGTGCAATTCCTGGCCAAGGAGTTTCCCACTTCCAGAGCTTTCAGAAAAAGCTTCCAACCAAGAGTCAAGAAATCAGATTTCTGCCCAAATCAAGTGTAAAGCTGCAGTTGCCTTATAGTGCTCATAGTGAACCACTGGAGACAACAGGTAAATGTATGGAGCTGACTGTAGATTTTTAAGAGCATTTTCCTGACTTGACCTCAGTAGCTTATTATTGTAATATCAGCAAATAGAGAACGTGGGCTCCTCTAAACCCATGATGGTAAACCTATGGCACGCCACAGGTGGCATGCAGAGCCATTTGTGCCAGCACGTGAGCTGCAGGCAAACTTAACTCACTGCACATGCGCGCGCCTCACAGCTGAATTTTTGGCTGGCTTGAGGCCTTTTTTGGCCTCCCAGAGGCTTGAAAAAAGCCTGTGCAGGCCAAATAGGCCCGTTTCATCACTTCCTGTAATACCGGAAGTGACAAAACGGGCCTTTCAGCCTGCAGAGGCTTTTTCAAGCCTCTGGGAGGTCGAAAAAGGCCTCAAACCAGCCAAAAATCAGCTGTGGGGCACAGTGCAGGTAAGGGGGTGGCGGGGTGTGTGTGGCAGGGGGGTTGCGTGCGCATGCGCAGGGGTCATGGGGGGGGTGCACATTGCCTTATGGGTACTGGCACGCGAGCGCATTTGGCACAGGAGCCCAAAAAGGAAAGCCACCACTGCTCTAGACCCTGAACTAAACAAGGTTGGGTCTAATAAATAATTGGATGGGAGAATTACAAGTGCAGGCCTTATTGGGAATTCCCAAAATATGACTAAAGGAAATAGTGATGAATTATTTCTGTATTTCTGTCAGAAATCCATAGAGCCACTGAAAGCCGATCTTGAACAGAAAGACACTACCTTTGCCTTTAGTATAGTAATACAGCTATACTATCCAGTAGTATAAGTTCTTTAAATAATATGTAGTAAAATGTTCCTGTCAATTCAATTGAAGCACTGTAGGAGAATATCCTTGGAAAATTACTGTTGTAGAGGACGGGTAAGAACTAATGACATAGAACCCATTCAAGCATCTTCTTAATTTATTCTGGATTTCTGAAATCTTGGAGAAACTGTCCAAGGCAGTGGAAATGGCCATTTCTACACAACCCTTTGCTGAACTGAACTAAATGGTTAAAAGGAAGCTATTGAGAGAAGTTTTTTCCTCCAACTGTGGGTTGCGGACCTCTGTACTAAATCATAATGTGGATTATTTTGATTAGGTTTTATATGTTGTGTAAAGCTAGTTAATCATATATAACCAAATCATGGCTTATCAGTCTTTCCCTCTCATACACATGCAGACCACCCCACTACATACCTGTTCTATGCTTATTTTGTGGTCCCCATCACAGCAAAGGTTACTTAATCAGTGTTAAAGCTAATAAGCTGACATTGGTCCCATAAGCAGGTCATCTGATCCAACCGTGGCAGGACTTTAAAGGCTACAACTAACACTCTGAGATACACAACTGAAATATTTAGCCTTAAAGCAGCGTGTCTCTCCTTCTAGGAATTGGCCTCAGAGCTGCACCTATTTATACCACAGAACAGAATCTAAACCAGTGTTCTCCTTTGGAGTCAGCAAGTTCACAAGAGCCTCAATTCTATCAGGAAGATGACTGGGGACTGGTGACAAGCAAGAGGCGATCATATTCATTCACTTCAGGTATGTACATGCATATCTATAAAGAAAAAAACAGAATTATTAGGTGTAATTATTGATTTGGTCTTGTACAGCACCCAGAGTTTGCTAGAATGTCTGTAGGTATTGTCAAAGAAATAAATAAGTGTTGTTAAGACTATTAAATTTTCTCCTGGCTTTCTAACTGCTTGTACAGCTAATAAGTTATTAAATCCATGTCCTTATGTTCAAATGCAGCTCAGGTCTCTGCCATTAAAATTTGTTTACAGTGACTAACATGACATCATATGCTATTTTCAGGCTATTATCATTTCAGTTAGAAGTCAAGGTTATTTTCAAGTAGCAAGTTTGTTGCTTAAAATCTCCACTAGGTGCCAGGAGCACACTTTGGGAGTCAGATCCATTTGTTTGATTTTTGAAATGTGCTTTAAACAGGGTGGAGCAGACTGGTTATTCAGGTGGAATGCTAGATTTACACATTCCATCTACTGGGGCCTAGCATGGAAAACATATCTTTAAAATTAAATAATTCTGCTCCAACAATTGGTTGTAAGCAGAGAACCAAAAGTAAATGGTATTTTCAATATTTTTTTAGTCAGAAAAAGAAGTACATTAAAAATATTGTTGATAAAACTATAGATCTCTAGAGATTTACCAGTAAATCCAGATCTACCCTAATTATATGCTCAATCATTCAGTTCTCAAGATATGTATTTGCCTGTGATAAAAGGAATTGTGACTATTCCTGAAATAGCAAATGCTTATACCTTGACAAATGTCTTCCAGAAGCAACTGTCGGAGGCAGTTTTGAAAAAGTGATTTTTGAAAACTGATCAATGGTAATGGAAGAGCAAAATGCTCATCGACAAGTAATTGTCCTAAGTGTGAAGGAGGGGTCAGCAGACCCACATGGGGGACCAAATGCACCCTGAAGTTCCTCAGAGGCCAGATATTCATGCCTTTTTCACTGAACACTAGAAACATCCAGATGTCAAGAGAAGAAGGAAATAGTACCATATTTGTTGACCTTTCCTGACTGGGAACAGTCTGTGGTGGCTGAGAATTTTGGGAATAGTCTTCAAGCTATTAGTGAGAGCCCCAGGGCTAGGGAAGACTCCATCCAATAAAGGAGAATTTTAAAGGAGGGTTGAAATGAAGGGTCCTTGGTACTCTCTGAGCTTGGCTGTTTTCTTGCAGGCCTTTCATTACCCAAATGAGGTAGCATCATTAGTGCAGTAGGAAACGCTGTTGTTTTCTCCTTATGATCCCAGCCAGCTTCTTCTTCCTCTTTAAGCGTCCTCACTCCATCCTTAATGGAGTCCGGCCCTTGTTATAATGAGAGGAAGAGCTGCTGGCTGTCTTCACTCTGCTCTTTGGGTATTTGCTCTGAGCCAACGTTTTACTACATTGCCACCTCCCTCAATGTCATGCTACTGAGGCAGCCAAGACAATTTTCTCCCAACTTGGCTTCTGAGAAGCTGGAATCTACACAACTTTCATTTTGTTGTTACAGAACTCCACAAGGTTTGAGGACAGGCTGTTGGGGACATTTCTCATTCAATCAATGAAGTCTTGGCTGGCTTACTTCCTGCCAACTGGACAAGCATTACCTAGTAGATTTCACAGGAAATCTTATCAGCCAAGCCAATCTTTCCCATCAGTTTTACTACCTCTGAAAATAAAACTACCCAGCTTGATTTTCTCTGATTATATCAGTGGTTCACACACAAGCCTTGCTTCACCCTGCCTTCCAGCCTCTGTGATCAAGCAAGACACTGCATGTTCCCCACACACATTTACCTATCCTGCACTCAACTTGTTGGAAAAGATGCTTGAGTTTAACGGGTGGGGCAGTGAAAGGTGATTTTTTGCACTCTCTTCCCAATCAGTTTGGAAGGAGCACTGATTGGTCCAACCTCTACTTCATCTACCAAAGTTAGTCAAGGTGGGATCACATGTCCAAAATGCTTTAGAAGGGGAGTTGAAACAGTGCCACATGGAAGTGTCCTATGCTTTGCAACTGCTAGTAAAAGAAGTGAGTACAATATATATAATTTTCATAATCTGTGACCTGGAGATGAGGCACAGGGACTAAAACTGGAGTTATCAGGCAATTCCATTGATATTATAAAAATAATAAAGACACATACCCTTCTCTCTCTTTCAGCTACATATCAGAAGATCACACCTTTATCAAAGTCTAAAGAACCCAACAACTACTCTGTTACTCTGTACATTGGTGAGCAGACTCCAACCACTCCTCCACGGCCCCGCTGCCATTCCTTCATAGCCTCTCCAGGTGGAGCCCGAGAAATAGTAGGTGAGCATAACCAAAGTGCTTCACCTATCCAGAAGAACAAATCCGTCTTCAGGAAATTCTTTGGGAAGAAAGATTGAATTTTCAGGAAATGGGGACTGTGGTACTAAATGCTGGCAGTGAACTGTCCTTTGCTGGATAGGTTGAGGGCCCTGACTGGTCCAAGAGGTTCTGCTACTCTGCACCAGCCTTTGTCATTAGCTCTCTCCCAAGAGGGCAGAAATTGAAGAAGAGGAGATAGGCTTTGCTCAGTGAAATACTCAGCTCTCTATTCACCCCAGAAGAAATCAGCTGATGGAGAGGAAGGACAGGCAGCGAAACAACAAGTACCTTCATTCATGTTGAGGCAGAATGCTATGTAATTTCAATTATTACGGGGTCTTTCTTTACAGTAGCAGTATACTGCCTTTCTTTGACACAGATACAATCAGGTAGTACATTCCGAGACACAAATGTTATTAATACTATATTTGTATTCTGGGATGGAGGAAGGAATTATGTTCCTTCAAGTCTTTTCTAACAAATCTGTGCATAATTCATGATGGGATCAAAAAACAAAGCAGTTCTTAGATGTAATTATCCAAGCCATGGAATTTATCCAGGCTGAAGGCTGCCCAGCTTTTTCACCTGACTGCTACTTTTGTGCCTTTAACCAGTGTGTAGACATTAGCCAGTAATAATTATGTGCTTCATGTAGAGAGAAGATTCGTCTTTTCTTTTATGTTTTTATTGTTATTCTTTATAAATTAAGCTGTTGTAAACACAGACACTCCAAAATAGGTCACAGCAGGATTTTTTTCTGGTCAGTTGGCAACATTGAATGAGGCCCAAACAATACAATGGAAGCCTGATCTTTTACAGGAAGGGAAAAAAAACAAAGCGCTTACAACACCAATTTAGAATCGGCATACATGTGAACTATAGTAATTTTGAGGCTGAGGAAAACCTCTGCAAGATTTTTTTTTCAGATATTGAAGAGAGCCTTTTGCTGTTCAATGTGGAGTATAATGCCAAGAAGTTTCTTGTCACTTAGTTTTCCATCCTTCAGCAACTTTTAAGGCTGGTTTAATAGCCAATTGCATCTCCTGGAGAAATATTAATACCATATTAAAACACCAGTTAGTCTGTGTGCTTTCATTCAAAATGCATTAGGGTTAACTGAGTTATGCTTTAACAGCCAGGCTGCTACTGCACTTAAAATACCCAAACACATGCTGCACTCCATTTAAAAGAATGAAAACATCGGTATTCCAAATAAAACAGGAAAGTTATGGATAGATTCCTAGATGTATTTTGTAGTCTTACCTGGAAAGCAAAATGGCACTCTGTGCAAAAACTTGAAATGCAGCCCTTGCTGAAATCCAAGAGCAGGTAATAGCATCTACTGGTTCCAAAATGTAAATTTGCTCAGATAACTGCAGAGATTTTCATTTGAAAATGGGAGTGAGGACTTATCCTTTTTTCACACCTACTGATTTTTTTAAGGAAATGCCTTTCACTGAGGTATTTTTTTCCAGGCCTGGCTGGGAAGAACCTTTAAAATAACAGCAAACGTAACATATGTCATATCACCCTCTTGCTGTAGGGAGGAAGAAAATGATGAGCAAGAAGGTGTCATATTTGTGGGGCTGCTCTAGGATATCTGGGTCTCAAATGCAGGAAGGGCTAATTAGCCCTCTGATAACCTTCACCTCCATATTTGGATGACATGATTGAGTTAACTGAGCCCCAAAGTGCCGCAGCTATTTCTGGCTAAACTAATTCCTCTGGGTTAATTTCTGGAATTAGTTGGCTTGGTTAGATGTGCACAACAGGCTGTTAAAGCATGTCCTGCAAATTGAACCAGTGGGTCTGCAAATCCAGACAGCTGGGTTTCTACAGGAAACCATAGGTATGATTTCCCCTATACACACATTTGAAAGGTTTATGAGGTAAAAGGTGACTGCAAACCTGAAACTGCTGGTTTCACATTCTGGTTCCAGATAATTGGAAAATTGAGCTACTCTGATGTTACATGGTATTGCTGAACTTTAAGTAAACATGGTATATATGCAGGAGAGGAATAAGATGACGGGAAGCCCACTTTCATTGGCAATATAGGCTGGCTCAACATGAATTACATTTAACATGTAGCTCTGCCACTTCTTGTCTCTCAAGAAAAGGAAAACAAAATTGTTGCTGCATTTTGTAATCTATTTCTGTGGATGGAAAAAATGATGTTTCAAGGAGAAAATCTGCTTATTATATCCCATGATCCAAACATTTGTATCTGTCTCCCCAAGGCTGCATTTCAAAGAATAGGGATTGAATTGGGAATGATAGATTCCATTTCTTTAACTCTCCCTTTTCTTTTGCACAATTCATTAGCACTATTTTTTATTTGTATCCTCTGTTTTGGCACAAACACATTTTTTCAAACGAAAACAGTGAGTACCAGAAAAATGGCCACACAGCACCATACAGTAATCCATACAGTAATCCATACCGGTAGCCTTTGACTTACAACAGTTCATGTAATGACTTCAAAGTTACAAAGGCACTGAAAAAAGTGACTTATGACCATTTTTCACAGTTATTGCAGATTGCAGAATCCCCATGGTCACGTGAACAAAATTCAGACGCTTGGCAACTGCTTCATATTTATGATGGTTGTATGGTCCCTGGGGTCATGTGATCACCTTTTGCGACTTTCTGACAAAGTCAATGGGGAAGCCGGATTCACTTAACAGCCGTGTTTCCTAACTTAACAATTACCATGATTCACTTAACAAGTGTGTTGATAAAGTGGTAAAATGAGGCAAAATTCACTTAACAAAGTCTCACTTAGCAACCGAAAATTAGGGCTCAATTGTGGTCATAAGTTGAGGATTACCTGTATATCAATTGTGAAACTCTGGTTCAATCAAAAAGCTAAAACGATCCAGTCCCACAGCTTTGTTTGTTAACAGGAATTAATAAACAAGAAATTGCAACTCCAAAGAGATCTCTGTTTCACAAGGACAGTTAATTGTGCTTGGTTAACCACAACCTCCTCAGTTGTTCAGCCACACTATTCACCTGTGGATTTTATTTTGCCACTAACCAAAATAAACACCATCATAATCGCTTCTGGACAAGGTATAATTCTAACTCTTGGGCTCATGCATTCATTGCACTTTTGCCTTTTTAGTGAACAGTTTAAAAAAAGAGTAACCATCTGGTTCAGTTCCAAGCTGGGAGAAAAACACTGGAAACATGGAGGCTGATTGGAAAGAAAGATTCCATTTAAGTTATGAAGCAAAACCACAACCACATGTGATTTTGGGACAGCTGATAAAATGGAGTTGAGAATGGGGGGATTTATGCCTTCTTTGGGTTTTTTTATTTGAGCTTTGTATTTTGGCTTCCTGTTCCTGTGCAAAAACATGTCCTATTGGCTGTTGTCAGATTCCTATGGGGTCATGTAGGGGTCATGGCTGGCTCTATAGGCAAAAGTGGAAATGCAAATCCTAGGTGTTTGTCCAAGCTAATGTGGTCAGCCTTTGGCTTATTGTTTATCTGAGCTCCCAGGTGAAGTTTGGATTGCTCTGGGATGGTGCAATGAAGGGGCTTGTGTTCTGAAAGGGTGTTGGGCAATTCCTATTGTGCCTAATGACTTTCGCCCTGTGTGGGTGAGGGGCTACTTCTAATCCTACCATCCTGCCCTTGTTTCAAAATATCTTGTCTTGAATGATTTACCGAATCTGCATTTCTAAAAGTTGCTCTCCTCAGTTTCTGCTTGGGACAGGGAAATGGGGGCTAGTTTCTGAATAGGCCCGCCCAATATTTCTTCATGGGTACAAAAATCTGTTGGGGGCTATTAAGAAAGACTGAGTCTGCTTCCTGCCTCTAAAAGAAACTTGTTTCTCCATTTCTCATTTAGGGAAATATGATATTCTGCCTTTTTTAATATTCCTCAAAATATTTCTTTCTTCTGAGGGTGGGGCTTCCCACAAGGTTCTTGTATGCGCAAAACCATGAATTTAATAGGATAGCAGTGCTAGGATGACTGGGAAAAACATTCTAGTGCCTAGTTTTCCATGGAGACCCATGCAATTTTATCAAAAAGTATCTGATTACTCAACCCATTGCAATACAACTAACACAAGATATGAAAAGGATATCACTGCTACACATTAAAAAATCTCAGAAACAAACAACAGACTATTACAACTACATCTCATCACCATGGCACACAAAGCTAATGCCCTTAAAAACCTTAAATCTTAAGTTTTAAATAAATCAAACACACAATAGTCCAAGAAGAAAAAATAGTCACCTGCAGAGTAAGAACAGTAACAGTTACTGTGTGGGAAAAATGGGCAGAAAACTAACTAGCACATCTATGAATATCAATTAGAAGTCAGAAGACAACATGAACATGCCCGAATCTCACAACACATGGACAGACTCAACCAGAGTTTCAACTGAGACATTGTGAGCATCGTAGACCAAACTAAATGCAAAAATGCTAAGGAATTTCAAGAAGCTTGGTATTCAGACAAATCGGCCAACAATATAAAGATAAATCACATTTATACCCTATTTAAAAGAGACAATAAAAAAAATTAAGGAAACAAAAGACTAGAATACACCCTTTCCAGCAACCAATACCTAGAGAAGCAAGGATTAACACCAGAGAAATAATTGGGAAGAAAAAATACCTTAAGATACTACCATGGAAAAAAAATCACATCACCACCAATACTGGCAGAACAAGCTACTGAATATAAACAGAGAGCAGCCCACACTCAATAGAATAGAATAGAAAATAGAATAGAATAGAATAGAATAGAATAGAATAGAATAGAATAGAATACTTTATAAATACTCTCAATATACATAAAAGAAAAGATAAAAGGAAACAGTCAATATAAATCGTAAGTATACAAGCGACAAAGCTATAGCACTGATTATATTACCTATTTGGGTAATAAAATGTCTGTAAGTAAACAATCAGGCTCAGAGAACACCAAGGGGTCCAAAGTTCAACCCTGAACTACATATGTTATCTTCTATTGAGTCTGCTTCCAAAACTGCCTTTTTTTCTTTCTGAAATACTAGATTCTACGGTATCTATCAAACTAGATTCTACCTGCAGATATAAAGTCCTGTTTGGACAGCTTTTCATATAGGTGTAGGTATGAAAAAACATACATATGCTCGGATGTGTGAACACAGCCATTGTATTTATGGCTTAGGCCAGGGGTGTCAAATTGGAGGCTTGCACACGCGGGCCACACCCACCCCATCTCCTTGAAGGGAGGGAAACATTGCAAAATGTCACACAATGGCAATGTGATGCTGAGAGTTTGACACCCATGGCTTAGGCTTTAGCTTTCAAAAGCTGCTCTGAAGAAGTTAATTGAAAGCAGACAAAGACCAGCAATTCTTTTAACTTTTCTTTTGTTCATTATTTCCCTCATCCAAAACAAGCTTCTGGGGCACAATGAAAAAAAAAACAAATGTAGATTTATGAGTTCAACATTTCAAACAATACAATTCCATTATGCTGTAGCTATAAATGCCAGCATGACAAATTCCACAGCCATTCATTGTTATGTCTTTGGAAAAATGTTGCAGGTACATATTTACTTTGATTCTCAAAATTATTCTGCTGGCTTAACTGGTTCTTCCAGGAATTGTACATTTCAAAAAAAAAGTACATCTAGAGGTAAATTCTTGACTTACAACCATTTGTTTAGTGACTGTTTAAAGTTACAATAAGGCTGAGAAATTGACTTATAACAGATCCTTGCACTTATGACTGTCACAGCATTCATTTAATTACATGGTCATGTGATTAAAATTCGGGAACTTGGCAACTGGCATTTATGTTGGTGGCAGCATAGTGGGGTGACATGATCATACATTTCAGGGCACTTCCAACATGCGAAGTCAATGGGGAAACTGGATTTACTTAACAACTGTGGTGATACACTTAATGAACATGACAAAATAAATTTGTATAATCAGGCATAATTGTTTAACTGCCTCAGTTAGCAACAGATGTTCCAGTGCCAATTATGGTTGTAAATTGAGGACTTCCTGCAAGGATCTATAGTAAAAATATGACTGCTAGCAAGGAAAAACAAAACTTCAGATTCCAAGAAACTACAGACACAAAAACTGCAGGATTCATCATTTTTGTGGAAGATTGTTGCTCCTTTTTTGTCTTTCTTTTTGTCTTGAATACAAAATTCATGTGAAAACTCTGGGGTTATTATAGTTTAGTCTGCCGGCTTAGTCTGGAAAATATTCTTTGTTCAGTTCCTGGTATTCATTTCCAGACTGACATTGAAAAATCTCCAACTGAAATGTTCAATCAACTTCAACATTGACAATTCTGGTTCAGTGAACTAAAAGTTTGATTCAGATCGTGCTTTTGTTATTTCTTTCTCTTTAGTTGGACAGTACTTTTACCTAGTTGTACCTTGTGCTGCCTAAAAGATATTATATGCTACATAGTACTTTAAATAAAGCCCACTTAGAAAAAAAATTAGATTCCAATACAAACACCAAGTTTGCCACCATAGTGGTTGATTTTGGAAATAGAGGCACTGCAAGGAGGTTTTCTTCCCCCACGGAGCATGTATATAGCCATGAGAGAAAATCTGTGAACTCTTTAAATTCTCCACCATTTTATTAGACTCACTTTAGTATACTGTAGTAGTTAAGGCACCAGGCTAGAACACAGTCTTGGGCATGAAACCAGCTAAATGACCTTGGGCCAGTCATTCCCTCTAAGCCCTAAGAAAAAGGCAATAATAAACCACTTCTGAAATTTTGCCAAGAAAACTGTTAGGAATAATCCAGGCAACCAGTAGGAATGAACACTGGATCACATATAGACACCAATCTTTAATAATCAGAATTTTATCTAAGTGCTTTATTTAAGTTCTGTTAAAAAACGATTCTGGATAAACAGCAGCCAACAATATATTGTATCATTTTTATTGAACTTCCTTTTCACTGTTAACATTCATGTGTTGGAAGCTCCTAGGATAATTGTCTTTCTTAAGTTGAATCACAGGTATTTATAACCAATGGGGTGTTAATCACATGTAGATTTGAGGGACTCACCCCTATTTAAAAAATGTTAGTTGCCATCATTTGATTCTGCTCTTCCTAACAGTTCAGGACTCAGGAGAGAGCAAAGAAGCTCAGAAAAACAGTAGGGGATCTGCATACTACTCTTGTATTGTTGATGTTGGTGTTTATTAATCCACTATAAGAAATATAACAAGAGTGGCATGCAAGGAAGACAAAAAGGAAGAAACCACAGCCTTTCACAAAACACATTGCTGTTTCTCTGGTTTGACAAAGACCACTTGATGATCCAGCAAAACGATGTTCTCTGGATTGATGAAACTAAAGTGAAAGTTTCTGGCTTTAATGAGGAATGTTCTGCTTGGAGAAAAACTATAATCCAGCAAAACAACCTTGTTCCAACTTTGTAACATGACAGTGGGAGCAGTGCAATCATTTAGGGAGTGTAAATTCTGCAATAATTTGGAAAAATGTCAGAGTTTGGTCAGTTACCTGAAACTTAAATGAGTGTGGGTAAGGCAGCATGATAAAGATTGTAGGCACACAAGTATATTTACAAGAAACTCATTGAAGCAGAAAAATCATTTATTTTGGAATAGCTGAATCAAAGCCCTCCTTTTAATTAAAACGAAATATTGTGGTAAGGTCTGAAGTTCATCCAAAAGTATCAATGCACTGAAGCAGTTCAGTAAAGATAATTGGGTCAAATACCTCCAAGCAAAGGTTCAGGGTTGATTAAAGGTACAGAAAACATTTGGTTGAAGTAGCTGTTGCTAAAAGATATGCCGCCTATTACAAATGTAAAGCTTCACGTAACCCTTTTTCAATAAAGACAGTGGGTGTTGGCCCAATAGACATAGCACAACACATGTTTTGTGTGTTATTTTGGTAGCATCTACTTATTACATGGATTTAGACAAAGTGCAGATCACATTGTAGCACTCTCTATACAAGAATTATAGTGGTGAGATAAAGTTCATGAACTTTTAAAGAGTGAGCAAACTTTATCTCAATATGTGCAGGAGAAGGCCTCCGATCCAATTCTTGGTATCTCCAGATTCAACAACCAAGGATACAGAAGATATATAGGACCACTTTTCCCCCAGAGAACCTGGAGAGCTGCTGCCAAATGGAGCAGTCAAACCCAAACTCCAAGCCTTTCAAGTTGTTTGATTAGGGATAGCTTATTATTATCCTAGGTAATCTGCCTGTGCCAAAGTGAGTTTGTGCTAGAATTCAGGCCTAGCATCTTTCAGTATCATCTGTGTGGACTGGAATATTTAATATAACCAAGAAATTATGCAAACTGCCTTTCCTTCCCCAGGACCTGTTTCCACACAGCAGGAATTAAGGAAAAAAGTCTTCCAAAACACAAAGTATCTGGCCAGACACTTTGTACATTCAATAATATCATTCAAAGCTCTTGGCTCAAGTTCCTTTTTTTGCCTGCCACTCATTGTCCAAAAAATGTTTGCTCACTACAGACACAAAGTATAGCCATTTAGCAGGAAAAGAGTGAGACAAACAAAATAAGTGGATGTAATCAACTATTGTGTGAAACTGATTGGTAGGCAGAAAACCTTTTGGTGGGCATAAAAGGGACAAGAACCAAGCTCTAACCTCCAGAATCAAGTCTCCTTTAATCAGGAAGCCTGTTATTTGCTGTTCCTAAAAACTGAGAGGGCAACAATCCTAAGCAAGCTATTTTTACCCAGACAGAAACTAAAAACCTACAATACAGCAAGAGGGGAAACTGGCTCTTTGATCAGAGTTTGCTGCTAGCTTTTCTCTAGTTTATCTTAGTCTGAGCCAGAAGCTGCCTCAGAACATAATGTTGACAGATCTTCTCCAGAATGATCATTCCCTGACCTGGCCCCTTCAGGTTTTTCAATGGTGCACTTGCACCATCGTATTTGAGCAGATCTACTTTGCTGCTAACCATTCTTTTTTCTCTCTCTCTTTCCCAGCATTATAAACTTCTCAAGAGAACCAAGTCTTGGAATATGTCCAAAATATGTTAGGCTGGTCATTGTACATCACAAGAGAACTCTAGGTTGACTTGTCCAATGATCCATGTTTGTTTTCTTAGCTATCCATAGTATTCTCATGAGTCTTTTCCAACGTCAATGTTCAAAAAAACAACTTCTGTTTTAATAAAGTGGTGCAGGGAAAACCTGAGTTTTGTTTAGGGACAGCTTAGTGTTTTACCTACAGGTAGCATTTGGCATCAAGAATGGATCCAGCAACAGGTGCACAACAGGGACCAATTTCCAAAATACTGATTGGATTCAAATATCTATACAGAACACAAGAGAGTTGTAGGGGGGGGGGGGGGAGAGAAAGTCCTTTAATTTATTGGCTAATTTATTAGAAAGCTCATGGCACCATGTTAATTTTTAATTTTTAGGCTGCTTGTTTTAGATGGTGTCAGCATATTCAATTCTGGTGCCCAAATGACAAACCTTAAAAACCACTAATCTAAGGATTAATATGCTATTTTATGCCAGACTAAATCCTTTTTTTTTTAAAGGCAGCTATAAGCAGAAACAAGCAATTGTGGGCGCTGTAGTCCAAAATGCGTGCAGGGTGTTAAGTTGCTCACTCCTGGTTTCAAATGCACAGGAAGCTAAGAAGAAGAGGCTGGATGGAAAGGTAATCTGCACGTGCTCAGGAACAGTCCCGCCCTCAAGTCAGTGTCCTGGCGCCGATTCCTGCCTCTGAAGATGGTTCGGGGAGCGGTCTCCTGAGAGCACTAGGACCTGGTGATCGCCCTCAGCCGCTAAGAAATCCCAAGCGGGCAGCCGAGAGTCCTTTTAGGGACCTGGAAGAGAGCGATGAAGGGAAAGCGAGCAGCGAGGTTTTGAGCGGAGAGAAACACCGGGCCTCAGGTGTCGATATCGGAGAGAGGAAGACCTGCAGCCACATGTAAGGAAGTGGACAACCCCGCTTCCATGTTTCTTTCTTCGGGGGGCGGGAGGCGGGAAGCGGAGCGTTCCTGGATCCCTTTAAAAGCCTTAGATCCTTCCGCCTCCGCCCCAATGGGTTCAGTTCGGTTCTGCTTGCAAGGGCGGCCACGTTTTCGCTGGCCGGCCGCGCCTCCCATTTCCCTGTAATGAGGGTCAGTTTCAAGGTGGAGCTTAGTCTTGGGGCATTGCCTTCCTGCTAGCATTTGCATTTGGCACACGCTGTGTTCCCTCAGGAAAGTCATCTGCCGCGAGAGCCGGGTCCAATTGGGCTGCACGTGCTTTGGCAGCACGTGAAGGAGGGTGCGGTTGGTGCCCTTCTCGCCGCGCTTGCACGGTTGGTTCGTCTGGGTTCCTTGTATTTGGGAAAATTTAGATAGGGTCTGTTCCTATATAGGTAGTCCTCAATTTTTGCAACGGTTTAAATTTGCAACGGTTCGTTTAGTGACCGAAGTTACAACTGTGGGGGGGGGGGGGAGAAGTGAAGGTGACCGTTGTAACTTCGGTGACCGTTTTTCACACTAAGGACCTTTGAAGCATTCCCCATGGTGACCTTCTCAAAATGCAGGGGTCATATTTATGACCGCTGCAGTGCCCTGAGGTGATGTGATATTTTAAAATATCTTTTGACAAGCAGTCAATGAGGAAGCCAGATTCATTAAGGAGGTGAATCCTTACTTTTAACAACTGCGTTGAAATTGTGGCAAGAAAGGCAGTAAAATGGGGCAAAACTCGCTGAACAAATGTCTCACTTAGCAACAGAAATATTGGGCTCAATTGAGGCCCTAAGTGGAGGACTACCTTCTATTGATTGGAATTAGTCCAATGTAGTGTATCAGTCCTTAATGTAATGTATTTGTCAGATGTAATCTAGGTTTAGGGATTAGCAGATAATATGAAGGGAGCCTCGCAGTCCTTTTAGATTTTCTAGCCATTCCTGAGGGGAGAAAGGTTTTCCAGCCATTCCTGAGGGGAGAAGAGTGTGTCTGCATGTGTGCTTTGGGCCTTACTCCTTACTTATGGTCAATTCCTAGGTGTGATGTCTTATTGAGTCTTATAGTTAATGGTAATAATAATAATAATAATGGCCAGGCTGAGTGAGAGTGATAGACATTAAAATGCAATAGCTTGGGAAGAAACCAAGTTGGAAAAGCCAGGAGGAGCACTTTTGATTTGTTCTTGACCTTTAGCAAGAAAATATTGCAAAATCCCCACTCCCATGCGTGGCTTTAGAAGGTATTCTCTGCTGCCATACAAAAACTTGCACGCAGCACTCTGAATACCTGTTAATAGTGATGGTTTTTCCCCCCAACTTGTATGCTGTCCAGTTCTCTGAAAAAATGACATACTGTTCTGAACAATGGAAGATGCCAGCAAATGAGAGAATTACATTGCTAGGCGTAACATGTTTCTTATAGGGAGCCCATTACCATCTGTGGAGTAAGGTCCAAAGGAACTGTTGATAAGTTGGCCTGATCACACATTTTAATATTGATTAAAAAGTGGACCTTTGCATGTAAGTCTGGCTGTGTTTTTGTCCTATGTGTGTTTTGAATGAATCTTTTCGCTGAGTCAAAACAAGATTAGAATGTGTTTGAATATCAGGTCAAGCAGGGACGGGAACCCTGGTTTGAGTTGTCCTTGATGTTTACTACTCAGACCAGAATATCTGACTCCAGTTTCTCAAGATTACAGGTTTGTGAAGTATACAACAAAGGCTCATTTCCTTTCATTGCTTCCAGAGCCGCCCTCCTCCAAATTCAAAACGGTTTCCAGATGGGAAGGTCAGTGGTGGTAAATATCCATCTAGACATGAGAGCGTGCTGCATTTGTCTATTGGGACAGGAAACCAGAGATTGGGAGAAGCTGGAAGATTGCTTGTGATGCAAATAAGTATATATTTTGGAAAGTGTAAATGTGGCAGAATAGAATCTAGATGACCTTGGAACAGTCCTTGATCATTTTCTCAGCCTCATCTTGCACTTGCTGTCGCATACAAGTGGATTGGGAGGTACCAAAATGAAATATCTTTGTTCAGCTCTTTTTGGAAAAATGCAGGGAGTTGCTTTCTGCTGAAAAGTTATATGACTCCTTTGTTTCTGTTTTATTTGTTAGGAGACCTCCCTTAAAAAATTTGAAAACTGGGAGAGGGAGGGTGTGAAGGGGACAGTAATCATAACAATCTTTTGTGGAAGTGTGTCTGTTTTTACTTATGAAGTTTAAGTAGCCAGAATTCAAAATTACATAACAAATGCCTCTCTTTTATTGATGAGAACTATTCCTGATAACTTGAAAACTTTCTGATTTTTTTAATGCTAAGCATAATCAATAAAACACCATTTTGTTATCAGGCTAGATTAATGAATATACACACATATAATAATTTAAGCCAGATGGGACAAAATTCCAGATGGGAGAAAATAGAAACAGGAGTGTTAGCTTTTGTTGTGTTATTTGTTATTAATACTCAAATTTTATTTTATACTGTTTTTTTCTCCTGAAAGAGCCCAGAGTGATCTACAAAAAAAAATCTACTATAAAAATAATCAGCAACAAAACAGGTTTGCATAGAACAAAGGGCGAAAGCAGGATTACGATATTTTTAGAACAAAGTTGATTGTTCTTGCTGTTGGGCTTTTTTTCATACAGTGATGATGGATGTCCATGCTATTAATTTGATGATGCCATACAGGGTAGCAGACTCATTATATGATAAGTGTATGTGGGAGTTCTTCAGAAGAAATCAGAATTCAGTTGTACAGGATGAGGGAGATTTGCTTTGTTTAATACTGCTTGTGAAACATCTTGTAATAATAGCTGATTGCAAATTGAATATGTGTCAGCAGTATCAGCTGACAAAAAATACAAAAGATGTACAGCAATCTGTATTAACAAATTTGGTTTCCAAAACATAGGATATAATAATTCCACCTTGGGTATTGGGGTTCATAGGTGGGACTAGATTTTGAGAAGGATTCAGACCAAGCGTAACAGAGTCAAGGAAGTGTAATTCCTCTGAAAGAAGAGAAAGGGAATTGGGAATGGTCAGCCTTGAGAATATTAAAGAGATATGTGATAGCCTCCTTTAAATGAACAGGGAGTTAGACTAGAAGACCTCCAAGGTCCCTTCCAACTCTTTTCTTCTAGTCTATTCCCTTCCATTCCATTCTTTACCTGGAAGAATGTCACTCAGAAGATCAAGATTTACCAGTATTTTCCACTGTTCCAAAGTCAGGACACTAAATTATGGTTTCTCATTACAGAAAGACAATTGTTGATTTAATAAGCTAACATAGTCCTTACTTTTAGGTTACTTTCCCCTTTAACAGATACATTCCCGTGGACACCAGAAAACCATCTACTGGGCATGCTTTAATTGGATTTCTGTAGCAAGAAGTGGGGACTCCCTGGCTCAAATGGTCCCCATTCAACTCTGAGATTCTGCAAAGAAAAGGAAGTTACAGGGAGGAAAACTACTGGAACAAAGACTAGATGAGTGACAGGTGCATGCAAGAGTGTTATTCTTTACTTCCCAATATATCCTTACTATTAACTGCAGTTGAAGTGCTGATGTGATTGTTATAATAGAATACTGGTGTAAATTGCCCCCCTCTACATGCATTCCTAGGTAGCTCATTTCCAACCTGATTCCAACCTAATAAACTGTTCTCAGATTACTGCAGCAAGCCATTCATTTAGAAGTGCCATTTTTGTTTACAAGTAGTCCCTGTAAACAATCATTTGTACAACCATTTGTTTAGTAATCAGTTGAAATTACAACACACTGAGAAAAAGTGAATTATGACCATTGCAGCATTCCCATGGTCATGTGATCAAAATTAATTTTTGGCAACTGACTCATGATGGTTGTTGCAGTGTCCCAGGGTAATAGGTCATCTTTTGTGACCTTCTGACAAAGTCAATGGAGAAGCCAGATTCATTTAACAACCGTGTTAGTAACTTGACAAAGCAGTGACTCACTTAACGACTGGAGCAAGAAAGATAAAAAATGGGGCAAAACTCATTTAACAGCTGTCTCACTTAGCAATGGAATTTTTGAGCTAGATGTGGTTATAAATCAGGACTACCTGTATTATTGACACCTGCTTATTCATTCAAGGTTATTCATTTCTGAAGGTGTGATGCCACTTTGTGAGGATAAAGCATCCTAACATCACCTGTGGCTGCCGTACTCTATGAGATTGTAAACTTCTGACCATAATGGAGTGTATATTTTCTGCCTGTTGGCCAAAATTCCTAGCAATAAACTCTATGAGCTCTATCTACTAACAGAATAATTTGAGGACTCTAGGCTGACTTCCGGTTTGAAGGGCTTCGGCGACAGACAGAAATCTGCGATCGTGCGTGGTTTCTGTCTGGGCTCGCCGCTGGAGCATCCCGAGCCGGCTGGTTTCGGGGCTAAGCCATCCCATAGAGGTGGTGAAGAGGCGGGAGACCACTAGCAGGGTCGAGGAGAGCCGCATCTCTCCTCCTCAGCTGGCCATTACTCCCTTTCCCGAAGGCAGTTGCAGCGGTGGTCAGAAATGGCCACCGCAAAGAAGAACTCGACTGGAAAAGAATGTGTAGGAGGAAGATAAGAAGTGAAAGTTTTGGCTGACCGGGTTAAATTGTAAAAGCAACAACCAAGGTACCCTGGAATTTAAACTTACAAAAAATAACATTGCTCCCAAAGAAGAGTCGGAAGCAGCGAAGGAAAGTGAAAAGGGAAAGGTTTGGCTTTTTTTTTTTCTTCTCTTCTCTCCCCTTCCCTATACTGACAACTAAGAAACTTAAATAAGAAATCGGAAAAATCCACTTTGACATCAATAGGCAATTAAGCTGAAAATAAAATAAAATGCCAAAGGGATAATAAAGATTTCTGGACATTAAAAACTTTCTTTTTCATAAGCAGGAAAGGAGAGAAAAAGAATAAGGGCAGGATCTGGAAGAGGGAGGAGACTG